TCCGTCACTGAGTACCGTATCAAGTGGCTGGTTTCACTGGGAAGTGAGAGCTGTGGGAGCTCTGGCAGCACTGGTTTGGCTCAGCTCCGGAATTCTGCTTCCCGGGTTTCCTAAACCTGCCTGCAGGAATGGGTCAAAACCCCATTTTTCTGTTCCTCAAGCCCTGTGTGATTGCCCCCTCCTAGGACACACCAGAGCGGCCACATCGGGTGTCTGTGCTGAAGAAGGAGACCGGGAGACTAAAGAGAGCAGTGCAGCCTCAGACGTCTGTCCCTTGGCAGGGTACCTGGTGCTGAAGGACTTGGGCATCCAAGTGGAGAAGTACATTGCCTCGGAGATCTGTGAAGACCCCATTGCTGTGGGCACCATGCGGCATGAGGGCAACATCACCTACGTGCATGATGTCAGGAACATAACCAAGAGAAACGTGAGTGGGGCAACGTGGCACCATGGCCAAGGAGGGCTCACCTCACTAGCCCTAGGATGGGATTTTCCCCTGCCCTGTCCAGGAGGAGGGACCCACTTCCATTGTGTCTCCTAATGGGATTTGTCTGTTCACTCTAGATCGAGGAGTGGGGTCCTTTTGACCTGGTGATCGGTGGAAGCCCCTGCAATGACATCTCCCTTGTCAACCCAGCCAGGAAGGGGCTCTATGGTAAGGCTGCTTTGCCTCTACAGAGCTGGGTTTTCCTGAGTCATTCCTGGGGTTTGGAGCCACCTTAAAGGGCAGGGAAGAGGTTCAGCTCCAGTCTGCCCTGGTGGTGACAGCTCCCCTCTGAGCTGCAGCCCATGGGGTGGCACCTGCAAAGCACAGGCTATGTCCATGCTGTTGGGGAGGGCAGCCAGGGCCTCCAGACCCATGTTCCCCGTGCCACAGCAGATCCCAGCCTGCCACAGCAGATCCCAGCCTGCAGCTCCATCTTTTTCCCTTGTAGAAGGAACCGGGAGGCTGTTCTTTGAGTTCTACCACCTGCTCAACTATGCCCGTCCCAAGGCAGGAGAGGAGCGTCCCTTCTTCTGGATGTTCGAGAATGTGGTGGCCATGAGGGTCAATGACAAGAGGGACATCTCTCGGTTTCTGGAGGTAGGGATTGCTGCTGGCTTTGGGAAGAGCATGTGAGCCAGAGACACTTCCTGTGCTGTGCAAGGTGTGTTGAGCTGTGCTTTTGTGTGGCCCCTTCCTGATGCATACCCCAGGAATCGAGTTTTCGTCCTTGGCTCTGGATCCCCAAGGGCTTGCAGCACGTTAACCCAGCCCAGCACTGGTTCCATGGGGGGTGTTCTTGCCTTGCAGAAAGCATCTGTTCAGAGCAATTCCTGATGTGTTATTTCTAGGGAGAGGGAGGTCAGGGGCTGGAGAGGGTTTTTAACTGTGGTAGCCAAGGCGGGCTGTGGGTCAGTAGGGAGCCTTTCTGCAAAAGTTCCATCAGAGGCTGATGGTCCTGATCCTGGCCCAGATAACCCAGCACTGAAGTGTGCTGTGGTTTTCATTAGCTGCTGGCCATGGCTGTGGTGTGGGAGCTCATGGTCTGGGGCTGACCAGACCGTGCTGTGGTGTGGAGCAAGGGTTTGTAGGGCACAGTGGAGAAGGGCTCCATGCAGGAGAGGGCTGAGCCCACACCTCCTCTAACCTTGATATTCCCATCTCTTGTGGCCTGCAGTGTAACCCAGTTATGATCGACGCAATCAAGATATCTGCTGCCCACCGAGCGCACTATTTCTGGGGTAACCTTCCAGGCATGAACAGGTAATGAATCCTTTGCTGTTGGTTTGAATCTCTCGCTCCAGCTTTGCTCTGTTTCGTGGTGCTTGTTTGGTTCTTCCCTCCTTGGCCCTAAGCCCAGCTCCTGGGAGCTGAAGAGCTGCAGCTCCCGTATGGTGCAGTTCCCTGCAGTGACGTGCACATGATAATGTGCTTGTTAATGAGCAGGGATGAGACTGGGAAAAGCAGCAGCATCCTCTGCCCTGGACCTGGAGCCTGTGGAGGGAAGAGTGATGGGATCAGTGCAGGATGCTGTGTGGTGTGTTTAGCCTAGGGATAAACATGTTATACACATCCACCAGCCTTAGTTTAAGACCCAGGCTGATGTGGGGTGCAGTAGGGCAGCCCCATGCCCAGTGACTGCTGTGTGGGGTTTGCTGGAGGTGAATCCCAGCAGCTCGGTCCAGTGTGGTGCTATGGGGAAGCTCCTCCCAGCTTTGTTCACACCTCGGTAGCACCCTGAATTCATGGTAAAACACAACAGGAGGACTTGGAGTAGAGTAAAATCCTATTACTATCAGTCCTGTGCACCAGATACTCCTAGCAACAAAACCTGGAGATTTCCTCCAGGGAACGCCTCAGCCAATAAACAGATTGGGTTTAAATACTTTGGGTTGTTTGTATTTAAATTGCCAGTATTTCGTGGAGTTAAAACTAATTAAAGCTGAGCTAGAGGCATGCAGGAATTTGAAAGTGAAATAGCAATTACTGAGGCTTTGTCATGTGAGATGGCACTTGAAGAACCCTCCTCTGATGGGAGCCCAGCAATGACTCGAGCTGTCTCCATGAACTGCCCCGGGCTGATGCTTGTGGAGGTGTCTTGCTGAGCAGAGTGGGCAGAGGTGTGAGTTTGTGGCTCGGTGTGGCTCCTGGGACAGTGTTGTATTGACCTGAGCCAAGTGGGAGAGGCTGCGTGAGGACATGACCATGGAGCTGGGAGGAGGAATTTTCTATTGTCTTTAGAATTTGCTTTTTGCTCCCTGTATTCAGTGTTAGTGCCGATTCCTGGCTGGAGATCGCTGGTGGCTCTTGGGTTTGCTTTTCCTTTTATTTTCCTAATCCGGTTTTAAAACGGAGCCAGCATGTGGGCTCTGAACCCCTGCCTGCATCTCCCCCCAGCTGGGAGCTCTGCTGGGGGGTGTTCCCAGGGGCATCAGCCGCTGGGTGCACTGGTGGTGGTGGGCTGGCACCCTCGTGCAGCTCATGGACAGCAGTGCTGCTGCTCCCAGGCAGATGTGCTTGCACAGATACACGAGGGGTGGTTTGTCTGCGTCCATGGGAGCGCGGCTGTGGGACATGTGGGCTCTGCTCTGCTGCCCTGGAGCAAGTGCCTCTGGCTCTGGGCAGAGCAGGAATCACCTTTGCCAATGTTTTGGGTCTAAAGCAATATACATTTGCTTGCTGCCATTCTGGGAAAGGAAATCAGAGCTGGTGGGGAGCACTGACACTGGTGAGAAGCTTCTGCTAAGCAAGACTCTAAAACACAGGCTGTGGCTCGAGGGATGTAGGGATGGACACAGAGATGGGACAGAGAGATGCTGTGTTCTGGCTGCATCCGATGGGCACCAGGGCAGCTCACCCACCCTCCTCTGCCTCTGCTCCACAGGATCTTTGGCTTCCCCCTCCACTACACAGACGTCTCCAACATGGGCCGTGGCGCTCGCCAGAAGCTGCTGAGATCGTGGAGTGTCCCCGTCATCCAGCACCTCTTCTCCCCGCTCAAGGATTACTTTGCCTGCGATTAGCAAGCCAAGCGCCCCTCGTCTCTCTGGTAAAGATGCACAGCTCGGCTGGCGGGGCGGGAGAGGGACGGGCACGGCCGCCTGCTGCCCCGGCACCATCCCTGCCCTTCCCTCCTGCAGGGAGGCAGCCTGGCCCCGCAGGGAGAGCTGAGGAAATGTCTTTAACCAAAGAACCTGGCAGGGTAACTTTCCTTGAAAGGGACTAATGGCAGTGATAGAAAACATGGACAAAAGAGCTTTAATTGCCCAGCGCAGGAAGCTCTGTGCATGGCTGAGACGGGACGTCTCCTCCAGAGCATTAAATACCCCGTTTTAGCCTAGAGCTGAAAGTCACAACTTGCTGAGCAGTAAGTGTGGAGGCAGCTGCCGAGGTGCTGCGGGCAGATGTGAACTACAGTGAGTTACTGCTTCTGAACAAACAAAACCTCTCTTGAAGCAGCTGCCAACCCCCCCGGCTGTAGCAGGAGGTGTAAGGGACCCTGCTCAGGTACATACACTGAACACGCAGGATACACACACCAAATCGGTTTTATGGTTATTTTTTGATAAACTTTTGTGTTGTTTAACGTCTGTTGCTGCTTTAAGGCATTACATACGAATGTGGAGATTCCTAGACCTGAATGTAGCTGAAACTGAACTGTGAGGTGATAGAATTACTTTTCTAGGTAGAACTAAAGGAATATTGTTTTATACGTTTGGCCGTAGTTTACAAATACTCACCACTTCCTTTTTAAAGCATCTACAACCTTTACCTTCCATTTTAAAAATCCTGCTGAGTGGTTTGAAAGCTTACACAGGAATTGGAGGGTTCGGGCTCCAGTGTCCATAAAGGAAAATGTTCTCTGAGCATCCATTTCCCCAGTGAATGTGGTGCATGGGCAGGAAGGGCAGTGCAGGGGTAGTGTGGTCCTCGAGCTGCAGCCCCCATCTGCTGTGAAGCTGAGCAGTGCTGGCAGCGTGTTGGCTCTGGTGCAGGAGCTTCCTGGCAGGGAAGGTCCCACCAGATGCCGGTGGGGTTGCAGGATCCCAGAGCACAGCACTGGTCTCCCCCGCGCTGATCCTGCTCATGGGCAGCAGGGTGGGAAAGCTGCTGTGGCCGGGGGCTGCACGTGTCCCCCCCCATTGCAGGCCCTGCTGCTGGGGCAGGTCCTGGGTCCGCACGCAGGGCTCTGCTCTACCTCTCCTTCCCTGCACACCCATCTCCCCATGCACACGGATGCTGTGGTGCTTTTGTGCCCAGCGTGGGGCACCTGGGGGGCTCCTGGGGCCATACCCCCAAGACCAGGAGCTCCTGCAGCTGCTGCTGTGCTCACTTTATTGCCCTCCTGCTCCCTGACTTTGCTGGGGTGATTATCCCAGTGTCTGTGAAGTCCTGGGGAGCCCGTCCCACCTGTGCCAAGTTTTCCATAGCCCCCTTAACTCCAATGCACATTTCAATGCACTGAAACAACTTATGGTGTCCCCCCATTGTCCCTCTGTCCTCCCCTACCTCTGCTGTTCACTACACCCTGTCCAGAGCATCCTTTGGTGCCTTCTCAAAATGAATCCGGTCCAAACCACGGGCCAGGCTGCTTCATGAGGTGTCGTACAGCATCAGTGGGAAATGAGAGCTTCTCTTCCAGCTCCTTCTACCTCTCTGACACACGGGGGCCCTCCTCACTCCTCTCATGGGTGGTGGAGGATGACAGCCTCTTTGGAGGAGGGAGCCTCTCACTTTCCACTCTTGTGTGCCACTTTCCACCTTGGGCTTTGAGGACCACTTTCTCTTGGTCTCCTGCCCAAGGCTGCACTCGGGAATGGGCAGGAAGGGAAGCCCAGGAAGCTGAAAGACTTTTTCCCCTGGTCTTGTCCAGAGGTGACTCTTCAAAGTATTCCCAGTAGGGTTTGTTCTTGGTGATGTGTTTGAGCTTCATGCCTGCTCAGGGATGAGTAGCACCCGCTCACCTCCTTTGTCACCACCCCCTGGCTGGGAAGATGGTGGGAAGGGTGCTGGGGGCGCCCTGGCATTGCCACCACCTGCTTTGGACCCATTTGCAGCCTCCAGCACCCAGCCCGGACCTGAGTCACAACACTAACTCCTGTGCCCAGCCCCATCCAGAGCCCGATGTGGAACCACGGGGCCACGGCCACCCTCTGCCTTGGGGACCTGCTGATGGGTTTTAGGTTTCCAAACGGGGCTGGCACATAACCTCTGCTCCACAGCATCTCTGATTTCATTCTCCAGATCTCGCATCCTTCCCTGTCTGATCAAAAGAAAAACAAATGGATGAGGGAGGAAAAAAAAGGACTCGGGGAATTTACACAAAGATAAAAGAGGAATGAGAATTGTCTTGGCATTAAGCTTACTTGATAAGAATTGTAGTAGACAAGTCTTCCTTGAAACAGTTTTCCCTGTAAGAGCTGCCTTGTATTATGTGTTTATAAGATGTAAGGAGAGGTAGATTCAGAAATGCCTTTTTCATACTTTTGTAAAGGTTTCTAACTCTCCCTGGTGCTATTTTTTTAGGTTAAGGATTGTTGTTGTTGAAATTCTTGCGGGTTTTTATACAATCTTTTAAAAATAAAAGAAGTGCATCATTTTGCTGTGCACATTTCGCATTGCTCTTTGTACGGGGGAGCGTGAGAGCTCAGGCCTGCCCGTCCACATGGTTCTGCCACGTTTGCTGCGGCGGAGGAAAGTGATTCACCTCAACCGTTTATCGCCGTCTAATTAAAGATCAGTATTTCTGTACGACCGGACAGTCCTTCCTTGACAGGTTTGGGTGTGGAGATCAAGGGGCTCTCAGAAGGACGGGTGCCCCTTCCCTGCTGCCCACTGAGGCGATGGGTGGGATGGGGGAACCAGACGG